AGAACTACAAGTTGGAATTCATGAATTGGTACCTGAAAAATGGTCGCTTTCATTTCGACTGAACCAAGGACACGTAATCGCATGTACCGAGAATAGAAAGAATACACTACTTGTCATAATGTGTACTGCTACCATGAGCCTAAGCGCCAGAGCAACAAAAATAACAGGATCATGGCTGTTGCCATTTTGCACTTGAGTTTGAAACAGCGCGGAAAAAGAACACCGAAAGGAATGCAGCAGAACAGTCCACATATGTATTAGTCTGGACAGGAAATGAAAAACAAAACATGACAACCAAATGCACACTGCCAAGCCCCAAGACNCCCAAGACAAGCATGGAACCACTGGGCTTGTGCCGAATGTGCAATCCACGAATAGTTGGATAATTCCAATTTAGCACATTCGACCAAAACGATATTTGTGGTTCGTATTTCAGACGGGACGTCTGCCAATACAGGTAGAAGACACTGTAGCATCGAATGAATAATGAGTAATCGATTCAACGGATCATGGGAACGTGACTTTGTTAAAAGACCTCTTCAACCACGAATGCATTCAATAGCAATAGGCATCACAGCAGAGGCTGAACAATTTGGGAGTAACCGCCAAACGGAACGGCAGTGGTGCATGTGTGAGAGGGAGACAGTTTTGTGTCGTTCAGCGGGCACCAGCACCCCTTGGGCAGAAGAGAGTGAATGCGACCAATGACATCTGAACGACAGTCATGTCATTTGGGTGTACGTGGACAAGAGCAACCACCCGGGTTGGGTGCGTTTCCCCCCAACCCCCGCCCTTGTCCACGGTGTAACAGCTCCAACGGAACAAAATATATACATACACACATAAAGACACACACATACACAAACAAACAAACGTGATAAATGCACACCTGAGCTCGGATTACCGGGCAGCTGTCATCGTTCTTATTCACTTTAGAGGTTAACAAACCGTGGAGTAAGTTGATCCATTGTACGAACTGTTTCAGACACGGATGAACGAGCACATTAGTATGACAGATGATATCCATTCGAGGGTGGATTCATTCTGCACAATAGAAACTCAGTACAGCAAGACCGGACTAAAACACTTCGAAATGGAAAACAGTGTATGAGAATGCACGCACGAACTTGCAAGGGTGGCTCTGTCAGTGATATCATGAAGGAGAAAAAAGAAAATGAAAACATCACCAAAAAGGCCGGGTTTTGATGCGAACAAAAACCAACTATTTAATAAACATAAGAATACAGAACTATATGCATATCTATTTGGCAATAAGTGTGTAACGATAATAAGACACAAACACTTGCTTCGCCCGAAAATAAGATTTGAGAAAGTATTGGGACGAGTCTGAGGGATATTCGAGTGTGATTCCCAAATCAAGAAACAAACATTCAACCGATACAAGCAAAGACTGGGTATTTTATTCGCTACGATTCACGCTAAAACAAAGCGGTGATGGAAAAACACCCCGGAGTGGTCAGATAAACGACCTGGGAAGAGATGTGATTCAGTCACAATGACAATGGATGATTGGTGAAAGCCTTGGGGCATTTGAAGGAAACCGACAGTCGATTAGCAGAACTAACGATGCACCGTATAATTCTCTTATCCAATCGACAGATGAAGATGGTTGTTGAATTCCATCGCCCAACGAACACATTGCGGGACCCAAAAATCCCCAGTAAAGTCTGCATGAGGAGTTCTTCAAAATTCTACAGTTAATCGGGCGGTTCATGAACAGTGTGATAAAGTACCTGTCAATAACGCTTTCCCAATTGAGCTCCCCGAGTTATCACGTGAACGATTGAAACGCAACGACTCCATGCAGGGGGATTGGCTGTAGTCATGTTCTGTATTATTCTTTTTCATTCACAGGGACTGATTCAGACAAACTAAACAAAGCTGTTTGACAATTAGGCCTCTTCAATGGATTCTTCTGATCTATGTGAATCCGTCCCAGGGGATACAGTGCTCAAGTTCAGCAGATATAAATTTGGATACACTCACAGTGTGTGTGAGTTTATGACTCGATTCGGCAGTGAAGACCATCTAATTCATTGAGAACAAACTTATGAACTTATAAACCTGCTACAACTGATTGAGGTGTTAAAGTTTCGCGCACACAACAAGGGAAAAACGCTGACTTGAGATGAACGAGTTTTAACCAGATATTAATTCTGACATTTGTTTCAAACTAT